ATTTATTTATTTACTTCATCATTTATTTATATCAGCACACATTGATATGTTTTATATTTTGGGTTATAATGCAATACTCCTTTACTTATTTTGTTGCTCACATTATTCCAACTTTGATGACTGGGCGCTGTATCATTTGGCTCCTTTGATGTAGCCCCATCATTTTGTATATCACTTCATTCATTTTCTGGAATTACAAGAGGATCCAAACTCATTATATGCAATTCATGCTCCACTCCTAGAAGCAGCCATTTTTCTAGAAAGTCTTGGCTCTTTTGATTGGACATTGATGTCAGGAACCAGGATCTGGGGACCAGAGTTCTCAATGCGGATAGGCTCTCTCAGCTGAGTGAGAAAGGAAATGTGTGTGTCTGTGTGTGTGTGTGCACGCTAATCCATGCATTTACTCATATTTATATATGTCACCATTCCTATCTATATTGGTGTGACATGAATTCACACCAATAGCTCCAATTCTTATATAGCTTCTTTCTACTTACTTGTTCATAAATTCTGTCTTTAAAAGTAAGAAGCCTGGATCCTGCTATCTGCCATTCATTTACAGTGGACTCTTAATTTAAACTCAGCTGGTTCTTGAGGGCTGGTTGTAGCTCAAGTTGGTCAATTGGAGGCTTAGACTCCTCTACACAGCCTTCAAAGTCTGTCTCCTGTACACAGGAAGAGCTCAGTGTCCTTAGAGAGATAAGCAGCTGGCATTCGGGTCATAACTCAAGACTTTGGTCATAAGTTAAAACTAAAATTGTGGTCATAACCCAAGTTGTTTGTATGTCAGGCCAGCTGTAACTTGAGGGTGCACTGTACTTAGCTGGAGCCCCAGTGCACAAGTGTAGTGTTGCAGAATTAGCAGTTACAGCACAGCACCTGGACAGTTCCCTGTTACACTCTTTCAGGCCCCATCATGCTCAACATTGTATAGGTCAGCATTTTCTTTTATGCCTTCTTCCTGCAGGAATTTTTTTTTTATGCTTTTGTAGTATAGTTAGCTCTTTGGTCCATTTCTTCATTCCATCTGGGGTTCTCCTGATTCCTGATTTATTTAAAATTTGCACATATTAAGGCTTACTCCATTTTTCAGTCTTCTGTTAGGGCATACTTTCAGGGAGTATGCCTAATAACTTCATACAAATTCATGTCAAAGATTGCACTTAATTCATCAATTACTGAAGTGAATTTTAAGAGCTTGAAACCAGTCCAAAGAACATTTGAGCCGGTAGGTGTCCAATAGTAGAAGAGGAGGGCTATGTTAGATACGAAAATGGTTCTTTTCCAACGGGGCCATAAGCCATATGTTATGAGATCATCTGTTCCATGGGAAAGGAATTATTTTCATCTCTGTTGGACAGAAATGTCTAAGTGAACCTCCACCCCTACAGAGCTGTAAAACAACCCAGAAAATCAATTGTCAAGACTAGTCTTGTACTGGAGGAAAAAAAAAAGAATTGGCGGTATCTAATAAAATACATAAATGGGAATAAGACAAAAATTGGTAAAAAGGTGAAATTAAGAAAGGTACATAAGGAAGGAGCCAGGATGAAACTCAGGAACGGACACCTGCGAATCCTGCCCAGCTGTGGCAGAGGGGTCGGCAAGCTGGGCTGTGAGCTGTGCCGCTCAGCAAACAAAGAGGGAGCCATGTTTGTCATCTCCACAGATGGTTCCGAAGCACATAGACCTTGGCCCTGATTTCTTAGTGGGGCAAGAAAAAACTCTGTCCATTAAATACTTGGCAAAAATGCCTGGAGCCTTTAGCAGCTGAAAAACTTACAGGGTAGAGAAGCCCTCAGATAAAGCCTTTTTGTTAAACCACACAGTCTCTCAGGTGCTTCTAGCCAAAGCCCTTTGCTGATTAAAGCAAGGCCTTGTTTCCACCCAGGTACACGGCAAACAGAAGAGACAGTTCTCTGATGTTGCTCTCCAGAATGTGTCTGCCTAGATTAGTTTTCCATAAATATCACTTGAAGAAGTGATTAGATTTTATTCATGGCAATAGAATAACACATTCTGGCCACACGGCCTGTTCCTAGAAGTGGTTTTCCCTATCCCATAAGACATGCATGCTCAAGGCCTGGGGGAGTAAGACTGTGGAGAGAACTCAGGACAGTGAACCTTGGTCATCAACTTGATTGGGTTGAGAGCCACCTGTGGGATTAGCAAAGCCCACTCCGGGGTGTGTCTGGTTGGGTCCTGGAGGTGTGGCCTTGGGGACTCTTATCTGGTCCCTGAACCCTTCCCCTTCCTCTCTGCACTGCTCCCCTGCTCTCTGCTTCCAGCAACCAAGAAGCAAGCAGCTTTCCTCTGCCATACCCCAATCCCCCATGGCATCTGTCTTGGAGCGAGCTGACCATGGACTGAAATCTTTGAAACTGTTAGGCAAAAATAAGCCTTTAAGTTGCAGGTGTCAGGTATTTTGTCATAGCAACAGAAAGCTGACTAATTCAGAGCTGTCTAGGGAACAGCAAGGCTCAGAACAGAACAGAATAGAAGGTTAACCACAGAGGAATCAGAGTGTGCTTCTTGCTTGGACACTTCTTGATTTATCTCCCTGTTGGGTTTCTGTGTTTCGGCTGAAGGCCTTTGTGAAACACCCAACCTTTGTTCCTTTGTCTGTATTTAGGCTGCAGAGGCAGAGACATGTGGAAGCTCTGGAGGTGGCATTGGCGATATCATGAGAGAAATTCTAGGAGGGGAGGTTCTACCCTTGAATGTGGTCCCAAAGCTTCTGTGTTGCCGACTCAGTCACCGCCAATCCAGCGTTGAGAGGTGGAGCCCTCAAGAGGCGGTTAGGTCCCAGGGCTCTGCCTCCTGCTCAAGTTGTTGCTGTTGTGTTGCGAGTGGGTTCCTGATTAAAGCATGAATTCGCCTGTCTTCCCTTCTGTGTCTGTCTGGTATGCATTCTCTCTCTGGCTTTCTAAGAAAACACATGATTTGTAAGATGGACTTAAAAATCAATACAAGTCAATTTCAGGCATTTCTTTAATACAGACTATGGGAATTTTCTACCAAAGAATAGTACATCTAGCAGGCAAAATACCACGCAGATTTAAACTTTAGCTTTTAGGACAATACACAAGCATCCTCCCTTGCCCTTTGCCTTCTGCCACAGAATGACTTAGCAAGAAGGCCTTGGGCAGATACCTGCCCTTACACACAGACTTCACAGCCTCCAGAAACCACAAGGGGTTTCTGTTCAATAGAAATTACCCAGTCTTGTGCAGTCTGTTATAGCCACACAGCATGCACCAAGACAGGAGGAAAGGATCAGAGGGCAAAAGCCGAGATTCCTTGTGTGCTGGGACCTCTCTTGGGCCGTACTGCCCAAGAGCAGGCTTTGTTCTGATTTTTAGAACAAAGGCTTTAGAATGCTTCTTTTAAAGCCTGGTTCCCTTCCAGCACCTTTTTGCAGAGCTGAGTTGTGACTCGAGAAGCAGGCTTGCAGGGTTTCTCCCCACACAGGATGCACAGAAAACAGCTTTTCTGTTTGAAAGGGCAGGCGTTGGGAAGCCAAGCTCTAGCTGGTCTCTGCTCAGGAGATCTTTTCCTCGGTAACTGTTTGCATCTTCCCTCTGAGGTCACTGGGGCTCAGCCTGGAGATGCTATCTGGGGCTCTGCTGGCTCCCAAGCCTGAGTGTGGTGAGAGCAGACCTGGCTCCTCCCTGTCTCACACAGAGATGTGAGTCTCCACACTGAGTGATGGTTTTGTGGTTTACAGATGGTGAGGAGAGCTTGTGGAGCAGACGGGGCTCTGCTTTATTCAGAGCTGCACAGACCCCAAACATTGGGCTTAAGGCTTCAAACACTTGGAGGAATTTCCCATTTTCATCAATATTTCTTACTATAAATTACCACAATCATAAGCATCTGAAACTTTCTGGAACTCTCAAAGGATAAAGATTCTAAAAGTCACAAAATGCAATGCCCCATCTACAACCAGATAGTTTTTTTATATCTCTATTGCCACTACCGCCATCACAACAGAATAAAACATTAATTGCCTATGGCTCCCTAAAACACGGTTTCTTCATGTTTCATGGGCTTCTACACAAACATTTTCTGAGATAAGAAATTTTCTCTCCAGAATTGCAAATTATTCTCTAAACTGAGCATGGTAAATATCAGTCATTCAGTCACTGGTGGTGTTTAATCCTAAATCTTCCTTTTTCCCTAACATCCTCTGGGAACTGGCTCCCAAGGGAGTGGAGATTTTTATTGGAAAGGTGTGGGAGTGGGGGGGGGACTTAAATTGGAAAATGCTGGGCTATATCTTGGGATTCCTTCAGCCAAAAGATTTATTCTTTGCTTGAAATATTCTTCTCTCAAAAATTTATGTCCTGTATTTAAGCCAAAATAGAGTAGAATATGTGGCCACATTGCTACACACCTGGGGGTGTCCACCTCCTATAAACAGCGAAGAGGGGCTCACACTCAATCTAAGTAGCAACCAGAGAGTAGTTCCAGGTGAATGGCTTATTGTTCCATGTGCAGCTCTTAAAGCCCTTCAAGCTGCTGGGGGCTGTGACTAGAGCAAATCTGGAAGTAGAAGGGAGAAATGGTACCCTACCTTCTGAGAGGCTCACAGGTATTCACTTCGCATGGCGTGTGCTGCGTCTCCTCCACCCCATGTCAAGTCTGTCACATTTTACCCTGCCCCGTCAGGACTCTCCCACGAATAAAGCTTGAGTCATTGGAGCACACTTTCATTTATCCATTTCTCCCTTCATTCACTTGTTTCCAAGCAGGTATAAGTTAAGAGTTTACAAACTGCAAACAACAGAAGCTGACGTGGACTCATTTTAATTGCAAAAGGAGTGCACTAGAAAAGCATCAGAGAGAATTTTCAGCAAAGCCGTGATCATCTGCAGACATGACCATCCTTTTCTACTCCTTACTGTCTTCAGCATGACTTGTAGATCTTCTTATCAAGGAGGAAATCTGCTTTCCACCCTCTTGAGTCTGATCCTCTGATTTGCTTTGGCCAACAGAATGCAGTGGAAATGACGACGACCCAAGACTGAGCCTGGGCGTACAGCCCTGTGCTTCTCCTCCTTCTCTGAGCACTTTTCCCAGCGGCGGGTGAATAAGCTCAGCCTAGAATTCTGGAACACGAGACTATAAAGAACAGCCAATCCCAGCTTAGGCCACCCTACATCAGCAGTCCATATGGGTGGCTCCAGTTCACCAATTCTCAATTTTAGTGTGTGTGTGACTCTTACCAAGACCAGGAGAAAGGCTGACCCTCAGAATTATGAGGTAAACAGGTGGGTATTATTTTGTTACCAAGTTTGGGAATTGTGACCATTAATCGCGATGTGTCAACGTGACTGCGTTACTAGCAGATCAGCAAACCACACCTGTGGGGTGTCTGGGTGGGTCATAAAGGTGCCCTTGAGTCCTATATCTAGTCCCTGGCCCCTTCCTCTCTGTCACTCTTTCCATTTCGCTTCCTGGATTCTATGAACCGAGCACTTTCACTCCTTCATGCCCTTGTGAGCCAAATTAAACTTGTCCTCCTTTAAGTTCTGCTCGTCGAGTACTGTATCTAGCAATGAGACAGCTGTCTGATATAGGGATTATTTGTTACACAACAAAAGCTCACTGGTATAAAAACCTGAAGAGTAGAACGTAGGAATCAGGGATTGTAGCTTCTCTAGAGATCTCATAAGATGACTTAACCTCTGATACTTTTCGTTCTTTTTGAGCCTTGCTCATTCTAGAGCAAAAGTAATGGGACTGGCCGACCTTGGGTCAGATGCTGTTCCCCAAGAAGGTCTGGAATAGTCTGGCTTTGGAGCCTTTTCTGAACAGCGAGGAGCAGAAGAAGAGTTCCTTAAAAAATCGTTAACAGCGACTACCTCTAAGAAAAGGAAAGAGGAGGTCTGGGGTACACAAAACACATGTCCACAGTTAGCCTTCTGTTTTTATGCAGGGAGGAGTAAAACCTTCATTTTCAGCAAGGGAGTCCTGGCCTATGGAGGCGTCAGGCAAACAGCCACATGTGGGGAGCACCTGTGTGACTGCTGCTGTCTCAGAGGGACCAGAGAAAGCTTTCAGAGTCAAGGAGGGTGCCTAGCTCAGACTCACTACCAAGAAAAATCTGAGGAAACAGCATTGGAACTAAACCCTGAGCTCAGAGAGATAAATAATGAGCTGAGAGGAGAGAAGGGAGTGGTGAGGGACAGGAGGGTCCTCTGGGGAAAACCTAGGGTGTGTCTTGGGCTATCAGCACCACGGGGCACGTTTATACCATACTATGCCTGGTGTGGCCCAATGTCTAAGAGACAGAGAGGGACGGAGAGGAAGGGAAGAGGGAGGGAGAATAGGAATGAGAATTGGAGGTTCACAGGTTCTCGGTTCCTATTGTTCACACGTCACACCTGTCATCTGCTTCATCCTTATGGAATTTTCCACCATAACTAAGAGACCAGAGAGCATCATGTAGTCACAGCGACAGGACCATGAGAGGCTGGACAGGATGGGCTGTGGAAAGCCTATGTGTCCCCGGGGCCATGTGCATTTTCTCCCTTCAATCTTGAGGAGCACTTGCTGGCCTGAGAGCAAGGGTGGTCTGCTCAGTGGGGTGGAAGCAGAAGTTGGACAGCTAAGGTGACAAAGGAAGAGGGACCAATTAGGACACTTCTGTTTTCTAGACAAGAAATGATGGTTTCTACTAATGGGAGTGGGGTGAGAGAAGAGGAGGTTGGGAGAGATCTTTTTATGATATCCTCCAAGAAACCATGGAGACACCAGCTGCTTCTACCTTCAGAACTCCTCTTGTTCCCTTGGAGCAAATAATAATTTAATAGGGCCCTGTCAAAGGAGACACTGGGAGGGCCAGGGATTTAGCTCAGTGGTTCCGTCACCTGCCTCACAAGCGCAAGGTCCTGAGTTTGATCCCCAGTACAAAAAAAAAAAAAAAAGCCAGGAGACACTGGTGATAAGCTTAAGTCCACATAAGGCTGAGGCATGAAATGCCCCCTCGTCCTGGCTAGGAAAACTAAATAGCTCTGTCGGACCTAGCCCACTCCCCGGAGGCTGGTACAGTCTCCACCACCACTTGGACCATCCAACGCTGGCCTGAACCAAAAGCAGATGGGAGCAGACTCCTGCCAGGGACACCAGCCAAACCTCTTGCTTCGCAGTGAGCAAAGGCTAAATGTCCAGAGAGTGTGTGTCTGATGCCTCAGGCCCGGCTGGGTCCTCTGGAGTCACCATGCAGGGTGGCATCCTGGTCTGAAGGACAATAGGACCAGCTACCCAGGGATCCTGACTGCCTGCTGGGGAGGGACGGTGCCATTCCTCAACAGGATATGGACAGAAAGCACAGAAAATAGAGAATTCTCTCCTGCATGTGATGATGTGGACTGGAAGACAACAGCAGGTTTCTAGGATATACAAGAATTAAGAGGATAAAGAAGAAAACATGAATTTGTAGTAGAGAGAATTGGATTTTCATTAGTATTTTTTTAAAGCAACAACTTGCTAAACATCAGGTATCACTAATGCAATTATGCCACACATGTTATAGAATAAAAAGTTACAGCAGAGCCTAAGCCCTTTTATGTTGGCTAGAAAGGAAGCCCAGCTGTGTGCATGGGAAAAGTCGGTGTTCATGCAAGGGATAAAGGCTGATCGCACAAGCAGCCACCACCAGCTGTGGTAAAGAGGGGAGAAGGGTCCACCGCAGGTGATTCGGCAATGGAACCCAATTTTAGCCACTGCGCCTCTCCAAATGATACCACTGAGTCACACAGCTCTGTGGACGTGACTGAAAGATGATCCTGTACATCACAGAGCTTTACAGTTTGGTCTCACCAGGCCACATCACCTACAGTGTTTACCCTGCATTATTTGCTTTTCATAAACCTTGAAATTATACCATCAGTTGTACAGTTCTATCATATTGTGGCTTTCTGTGTGTGCTCAGAACATTGATTTCTCAAATAAACATTTCAAAAGGTGGTGTGTGTTTTATAATCCTGTTTTTCCATTTTTCTATTTTGATTTAAGGTAGGCAGCTCCAGAAAATGGATGTGAAACTGGCCTCTCCTAACGAGGGAGATCTGATTCTGATGCAGGAAGAATGTGTGATTCATTGCCAAATAATGGATATCATTATTTATTGAAGGTCTATCACGAGCCAGTGACTCTGGGTATATCCTGTGGATTCTTTTTGGAGACAGGGTCTCGCTATGTATTTTAGGCTGGCCGTCAACTCACAGAGATCTTCCTGCCTCCACCTCCTGAGTGCTTGGATGATGGGCGTGTGGTCACCTTTCCATTTTTAAACTGAAGCGAACAGGATTACAGCAGGAACAGTGGCTAAGGCAGGTGGGGAAGGCAGCAAGTTAGCTGTCCCGGGTGGTGGCCGCCCCTGCGGACCTGGGTCTGGTTCACTTTCCTGGCCAAAGTAGCAGATACTCGCGACTGAGAGGAGGAGAGGTTCGTGCTGGGCCGGGACTCCGAGGGCCGTGGGCCAGGTCCAAGGCAGGGCTGCTCACAGCGTGACCGACAGGAAGCAGAGGGAGGAGGCGGGGCCGGGGAGGGAGACACGCCTTTTGGGCCACGCCCAGCGGCCACCTCCTCCAATCAGACCCCGCCTCCCACCCTCGAGTCAGCCGTAGACCCTGCAATCCAGTTGCCTTCCCAAAATCCTGCCTATGAGGGCAAGCAGCTCGTGGGGCCATCTAGGGCCTGGCGTAAAGATGTCGGGACCAGGACAGCAGCTGGAGGCTCTTTCCTTGAGTTATTCCTGCGCTTCGCTTCCACCCGCTACTGTATTGCTGGTATGTGCTTCTCTTCCCCAGCCCGGAGCGTAGGGGGAAATGTTTCACCTGGTGAAGCGTTCCAGTCTACTGAAAATGTCTCCTTTCACCGAAGTATTTCCCAGGGCTATGATTTAAAAGAAATGCAGTTCTGTGTTTAAAGCTAGGACTTCCAGAGCTCTTCACATATTCTGACTTTTTTAAATTTTATTTTTAAGATAGGCTTTGGCTGTTTAGTTCAGGCTGGCCTAGAACTCACTGTGTAGCTCAGGCTGGCCATGAACTTGTGGTGATCCTCCTGCCTCAGCCTCCCAGGTGCTGGGATTACAGGCGAGCGCTACCATGCCCAGCACCATATTCTGACTTTTGGAAATCTCACCATACAACATGCCAAACAAATCAACTGCACCCATATCCCACTTAAAATATACTTTTCCACCTAAAACATTTTTGTAAGGATTTTTAAATTTGTGTTTTAGAAATTATTTGGCTCTGTGTAGCTTTTGTTCAATTTATGGTTGACTATGAGTTCCTGACAACCACTGGGTATCTCAGGGGAATTTGTGAAATGAGAAAATTGTACAAGTAAGTTGCATTAGATGTAGTGAAATCCTCACTTACAGTACTTGGACAGTTAATGAGGTTGACACGTTGCATCTTTTGGTAGACATTTAATTGGACAGGTATTAACTTTTATTTTTGCTGTTTGCTTTAGTAGTTCTACAGCCAGCAGCTGCTTTTGTGCCCTAGTCTTACACATTCTTTAGGCCCTGAATGCTTCCAGTGCTTGAATTTTATTGCATTGCTGGATTTTGATGCGGTGCTAGTTCTTAAAAATTTTCACTCCAGGACTCTTTTCTACTCTTAAAAAATTACTGAGCACCCCAAAGATTTTTATTTTAAAATATGGGTTATGTCCATTGATATTTATTGACCTAAAAGTTACAATCCAGAAATTTTCAAATTATTTATTTTTAAACTTCTTTAAAAATGACAGTAGTGAACTGACTACAGGCTACGTAATAAACAAAAATAAAACCACGCACCCCCAAAATAGTGAGAAAAATGGCATCTTTTTTGTAAATCTCTTTAACATGTGACTTATTAGAAGCAAGACTCACATGATCTTTTAGGAATGTACTGTGTTGCCATATGTTGTTTTGGCTATAGTTATAGAAATTTTAGCTTCATGTAGATATGTAGTTAGAAAAAGGAAGGTATATTTTGATAGGCTTTTTGAAAATATATCCAATCTTAAATTCAAGTTTTGTAATGTAGAACATAAATCATTCTAAATACATTTTCATTCCATGTTCCTTTAAAATCCATGCTGTATTTACTTCATGTTTACATGGGTGCGATTTTGTCACGTAAGATGCTAGACATTTGGAAAATATCAGTTCACTGAATTTTGCAGATGTCCGAACGCTGATACATTTCTTTAAACAGCATCAACAGATGACATTCACAATGCCACCGCTGATCTGATTGGAAAGGAGTTTTGGTTTTGTTTGGCTTTGTGTTGCAGTGGTAGGGACCAAACCCAGGGCCTCACTTGCACTAGGCTCATCTCTGACACTGAGCTACACCCAGCCCGGAGATGTCTCAAGGTTTGGGGAAGCTGGTGAGTTAACAGAAACGGATGTGGCTTCCCCAACTGGGACTGTCATGCAGCGACCAGAGGTGACGGCTGGCAACACACACTGCATGTTGTTTTCTGCACAGCACCTCACT